CGCCTAAAGATCATCAGCGGCACTGTGTACAGCTTGGTCTAGTTCCTGTTGCTTCTCACTTGCTAGGACCTTGACTTGTACTGTCCTTTATATGTATACTCAGACTAGACTTGTGTCCTCTCCCAGTGGCTGGACTAGTAGTGCCGCCCTGCTCTTGTTCTTGCCTTGTCTGTACTCCTTCTGACTGGTCTCTCAGACCCTTGTCTCAGAGGTTGGACTAGAAGTGCCGCCCTGAGCTGCTTGTTTAGGGTATTCACCTATGCAGTCTAGGGGGTGTGTCAAACATCTGTATTTGTTATGTTTGTATAGACTGTATAGGGTTACCGCCTAGAGGGTACAACACTTAGGTATATTTGTGTGTACTCTCATCTTTACCATTATTCAATTATTCTGATAACTCCAATTCTTCTTCCACTTTTTTCGCCGTGCTTCGCAAGCGTCATGAAAGCCTGGCAAGTGTAAGCGTTCTATTTTTCGCCAGCCAGGATTTGGACGTTTCTGTTAAAATTATATATTGAGTTATATAATTGTTAGGCTTGGTAGGTTACCGAACTTTACTGTAGCGAGTACAATCCCCTCCTTGTATGCCTCTCTCTTTCTATTCGAACCCCCTTTTTCTCTCCTCAACTTTTCTCCTTCCTAAACCTCACGCTTCTCCATGGCTCCTCCTAGCTAAACCTTATGTCTTTCTTAGCTTCCTAGCTAAGCTAGCCTTCTAACATGCTATCAGAGCGATGTTCCTCCCTGCTGGTCCACCTCCTCACGCTTCCGCCGCGTACTCCTTGCCCTCGTTCGCTCGCGCGGCCATGGCGGCCGCGTTGTTCTGCAGTGGCGGCGTCGTGATGTCGCTGGCCGCGTCGTGCCGTTGCCATGGCGTCGGGCCGTCGTGCTGCTGTCGCAGCGTCGACGTCCCGCCACGGCGTCGACGCCGCTCTGTGATGGCGGCGACGGGCTGCAGCCGGCCGCGCGACGCCTGTGGCGCCGCTAGACTGCTTACCCGCACGCCAGCAATGGCGCCGCGCTGAAGATCCGAAGCCTCGCTCCTTCCCCTTTTCCTCAGTCCCCTCTTCATCACAGCCGTCGCCTGACTCTCGCCGGTCGTCCCCCTGTCGCGGAGTTTGGACACACCGCCGAAGGGCGGGGGCCGCTGCCGTTACCGCCGTCGTAAGCCGAAGTCGTCGCTGTCGCCGCTGTCGTCGCCGCAGGTGTGTTGCCGCCGCACGCCCGTCGTCGCCGTCGCTGTCGCCGCTGCCGGGACGGCCGCCGTCGCCATCTCCAGGGCCTTGGGGTTTGCTCTGCTGGAGTAGACGTGGCTGATGGGAATGGGGGTGCTAGGTTAGGGGGTGTGGGGGTGTGCGTGGGCTTGTGACTACCAAGCCTAGGGGGTGTGTTACAATTATATATTGAGTTATATAATTGTTAGGCTTGGTAGGTTACCGAACTTTACTGTAGCGGGTACACTCCCCTCCTTGTATGCCTCTCTCTTTCTATTCCAACCCCCTTTTTCTCTCATCAACTTTTCTCCTTCCTAAACCTAACGCCACTTCATGGCTCCTCCTAGCTAAACCTTATGTCTTTCCTAGCTTCATAGCTAAGCTAGCCTTCTAACAGTTTCTGCTGTGTACATAATTTGCGCACGATTTCCATTCGGTTCGGATACATGTTGTTCAAGTCTGAGGGCCCGTTTGGAGGGTGTCCGCCAAAACCGTCAATTTATTGTGTGCGTCCGAATGGACACGAATTTTCGGGTTACCAAGTCAAAATTATGTACCTGATATGCAAAGTGAATAGTAAACGAACGGTTGGATACGCGCTGAGGCCACACTGAACTTTCAGGGTAGGTACACAAAGGCAGCGTGAAAACCCCCTGTTTTTTAAACTACTAAGCCCCGTTTTTTCAGATTCCAGCTCTGATTTTTCAGGGTCGGTACATAAGAACACCCTGAAAATCAGCAAAATCAGGAAAAAACTTATCGACCTGGAAGAAATTGAGAATCATAGTGTCACAAATTTCAGCATACACACGAGCGCTTATTCAATGTCCCTCCCAACCACTTCGTTTATGGCACACTTACCCAGCTACCAACGTTACAAAAGAGAAGCTTATTTCGCAAAATGAGTGGGGCTTCTATTCATGACATTACTGTTGTGCATGGACTGGCAGCATTTATCGTCGTCAACTGAAGTCTTGTTGACCTGCCGAGTTCACAAGTTGGCGACTTGCGTAATTGCATCGCGCCTAGCTGGCTCCTGCCAGCTCTTCAAAAGTCATTGACATGACCTGACCTGACCAACATGCCACATGTCAGCACATTGCTTGCAAGCAGGGCTTACCTCAGGGTTTTTGCCTACACGTCAGATCCGGGTTCTGCTCCCTCGCGACGTGGACAGCACGTGTATTTGTTGAGAGTCACCCGTTAGAAGCCGGGTAGAAAAACAACATACACATCATATTCCGGGTATCATTCGTAATGTCAAAATGCATGGTTTTTTGTTAATAAGCCTTGATTGACAGAAAACAAAAAGAACCAAGGGGTACGACCAGATTTTAATGTTCAGCACGAAAACACAATAACACACCAACCTCATCTACTTGCTATGACACCTACCTTTCAGCATGTGCTCAAAGTGTTGGTGCACATGGGCATTTTGCTACAGATTCGGAGACACCTGCTCAAGCTAAAAGACTTCTGTAATGCCTAAAGAGGGATCCAGCACTTGTACTTTACATAACTCACCTGGAGGCTTATTCTTGAGCCGCGACAGCAACTCTCCCTCTCCCTCAGAGGGGTGGAGGTTGGGGGGGTGGGGGGTTTGAGGGGAGGGGGGGGAGGGTGGGGTTCGGCAGCTCTAGAATTCGGGTTTTCGAAAATCGTACTCGTCAAATATGTGTACTTGGCAAACCTCACACGTGACTTCACAGGTACATATCAGAAGACTCCCGTCAGAATCAGGGTTTATAAAATCTGAAGACGTCAGATTCCGAGTGTGGGAAAAAACCACCCGTTATTTTGCCAAATACCGGGTACTTATCTGTCAAAAATTCCCTGCCTGCAAGGCGACCGCTGTGGTTCATGATGCTTACCACGTGCAGGACACAGTTTGCCTTGTCGTTGACAGCCATTCCAACGGCCAGCACGGCAACAATCCTCTGTCTGCATGGTGTTTTTCTGCATGACCTACGCCACCGTGGCTTGTCGCAAAGTACAGTTGTGAAAAAAACTTGCAAAAATAGCATGCACAAGATACAAAATAGATACAGTGTTCTGTACAAAATTCACTCCACCGTATTGTTCGCGTAAAATCCGGAAGATTGGCCTTATCACCATTCTGGACTCTCTCACCGTCCTTTCTCTGACGCCTAAGAATCGTGTGAGCTTTGCAGACGTGGACATAATTCCGAGTCGTGTCTCTCGGCGCGGTGCGGAACATCTCATTCATTACTGTACATGTACGGAGTGGAAGAATCACGGAATTTATTGAATCCTTCACGATTTCGTGGAGCCTACGAGATATCCCCAGGACAACTGTTGTGGGAGGGGCAGGACGGGGAAAAGGGGGTAACGGGGAAGGCGTAGGTGTGAGGATATGACATTCTTCGCCAGAGTTTGTGACCCTTAGCGAAGATTTCGTGAAGACTCGCCAGGGTTTCTTCCCCAAATCTCCTCTTCGCCAATCCGCCAACCGCAATCACCATCCCCAATCTTCACTTACGCGGGCCGCTCTCGGCTCTCACGCGCTTCTCTTCTGTCTCGCGGTTCTCAAGCGTACGACAGATTACGGTTGGGTGCCATCTGATTCAGAAGGATGAAATGAAAGAAGCGGCGGTTGGATTTGGTTTTGGGCCGAAAATGTGTGCTCACGCCCTTCTTTCATCCCCCCCCCCCCCGCAACCCAACCGTTCTGCCAGCGTGAAGTGACGAAACCATAAGGCCGTCTGCTCCATCCGACCCGAGACGAGGGTTTCAGCACTGTTGGCTGTTCGTGTGTCACTTCAACTGGGGGTTGATTGTTCTCCCGTTCATCCGAGCTCTTGTCTCCCACGCTGAGCTCACTGATCTCCTATCTTCCAAGAAACGATAGTTTGATTCTATTGCATTTCTGCGCATCACCCCAAAGCCTCTCTAACCGTTCCGCATGATAGATCGGTCATCACGTCACGTGACCGATCACCATCGCCATCGTCAGAACCTCGTGCCGCGTCTATTTCGCCTCCGTCGATTGCGCCGCATCCGCCGCCGCATCCGCCGCCGCATATCCCCCGCCGCGTCACATGATGTGTCATTCCATGGCGTTGCCTCATCCGTGCAGCCCGACTGAGCTTTCGCGCAGCGAATGCGGCCATGACTCTGCTTCTGAGTCGGCTCAGCCGGTGCCAGAGTCTCAAGATCGTTGCTTCGACCGCCATTCGCCGCTGGACTCGGAGCCTTCGATGGACGACGCGCCATGGCGCGCCGCGACGAGCACAAGAGTGAGTCCGAATCGGCTGGTCGGGAAAAATGTCAGCCGAATCAGCTCCAAAATCGGTGTGTAATATGTCGATTTTTGAGTCGACTCAAAAATCGACTTATTATAAAAGTTCAGCCGAGTCAGCTCCATCGGCCCCGTTTCCGACGTTGTTGCTAATCACTGATGGATCTTACTAGCAGCAGCGGTACCGGCGTTTCCGAGGTCAGCGCATCACTGATGACTCATCAGTTTGCGGCGGCATCTATTTTCTAGGCGCCCCAAAAGGAGTTCCGATCTCGAGGCCCCTCGAAAGCACATCAAGATTCATCAGTTTGCGGCCCGCGGTAAGCACACCACCGGGTGGCGTTTATTTCTTAGGCGCCTCAAAAGCAGTTCCACTTTCGAGGTCAACGCATCATGACTCATCAGTTTGCGGCGGCGTTTATATTTTAGGCGCCCCAAAAAGTAGTTTTGTTCTCGAGGCGCCTCAATAGCACATAAAAAATCATCAGTTTGACATTGGCAGGAGATTTACCATCGAGATTGACATCGACATAAAACGGTACCAAACTTCTCCTGGAAAAAGAAAAAATATTCAGCGAAATCTCGCTGCTTGTGACCGAGCTACGCGGTCGTCGTCCGACAGCTAGGCGGCGACGTGTAGCTCGCGCGATCCCCCTTTCTCCTTTCGCCAGCCTTCGCCAGCCGAGTCTGACGTTGCCGCGTGTTCCTCGTGCTCCCTCCGCTGATTCTCGATGCGAACCACACTGACGGTCGAGATCAAAGGGAATGTGGCATTTGTAGCCCGTCGACGCTGCTCTAACCCGTTACTATCCCCTACCCGCCATAAAGTCCTTCTTCCATGGTGCCGCCGCCTCGCGATCATCCCGATGGACGAGATCAACGCGCACGACGTGCCATTGATGCCCATCGACGTCGCACGTCGCACTAACCCTTCATCACATTAATACCGCCCTTCGTCGCGACTCGCTTGCTACTCTCTCCATGCAGGCTCCTCGCGCGCCGTCCGCCGCTCGATCGCGGATCATCCCGATGGACGAGATCAAGGCGCACTTCCACATGCCGATTAACGACGCCGCGTCCAAGGTACTGCTGCCACTGACGACGATGCAACGATCGTGCCGCAATGTGTTCAGTCGTGCACAGCTTCGCCGTTGCGATTTCCAATTATGCCGCCGACGTTGAAGCAGCAGAGTGCCGCCGGTGTGGCTCATTCCTCACTCTTCCCTCCCTGCTTCCGTTCCCCTGGTGTGTGTCGCAGATGGGCGTGTGCGCGACGGTGCTCAAGCAGCAGTGCCGTGATTACGGCATCAACCGATGGCCCTTCCGAAAGGTAACATCATCACCGACGTTCGTGATCGTTTCGCCGAATCGTCAGTCCGAGTCGCCACGAGAGTTGCTCCGAGTCGCATTGGCTCGTTTTGACGCCATCGGGCCGATTCATGGCTGGTGTGACATTGACGGTCAAATTGACTCGCGATGATTTTGACGGCCGTATTGACGCCTGATGACATTGACAATTGACATTGGTCTATGGCTCCCTGCACGTCCACCCCTTTCTTAGACGGAACGTTTTGGGAGGCTCTTGTGTCTCAATGGCTCCGCTTTCCTCTTCCGCCATCGTTTCACTAAGCTCACAACTCCCCTCCGCTTTTCTCTGCCGCCCTCACACATACGACCCTCGTAATCGCAGGTGCGCAAGTTAGACAAGCTCTTGGTGGCGCTAGTGGAGCAGCCTATAGCGGGGACGACAGATGCGGCGGAAAAAGCCCCCAAGCGAGCGCTGGTGAAAGATTGCGACGTGAGACATCCACCCCTTGTTTGTACCCCTCCTAATATTCACATTACGGCACTTTTTTTTTCTCTCAGCTCCGCTTACTGATGGTTATAGTGTGTATCCTCCCTCTTTCTCCTCTCCCCTTTCCGCTCCCCCCTACCCCCTCGACTGCAGCGCAAGCGCAAGCTGGAGCAAGTGAAAGACGCACTTACCGAAGTGATTGTAGACCCAAACTGCGCAGGTAAACCCGCTGATTTACACAGCATGTGCTGCACTTACTGCATTTCTAGTCGACTCACATACTCGTGGCATAGACTGCTCTAACCTCCTGTTCGCCCTGTTTCCTTCCCTCTATCCTGCCCCTATCCGCGTTGCAGCTCATCTCAAGGTGGGCAAGATGCGCTGCACACCCAGAACGCCCTCCTCCCTGCCCAGCGGAAGCAGCGGCCAGGCACCAAGTGCACAGACAAACGCATCTGCGTGCGTTGACACTCCGCACGTCAACACTTCTCAAGTCAACGTTTATCAAGTTGATACTCCTCAAATCGGCGCTCCTCAAGTCAACGCCCCTCAGGCAAAGGCCACCCCTGCTCCACGCATCTGCTCCCCCTTCCTGCCTTCTCTCCAACCCTTCTTCCCGGCTCCTCCTGCCCTTCCTGCTCCTTCTGTCCCTCGTGTGCCGTCAGCCCTCCCTTATATCCCTCCTGTCGCAGCAACTCTCCCTCTCCCTCCGGTCTACCCAGCCCCACCTCCTTTCCCTCTCCCTTCCATACCTCCTCTGCCTCAAACATACCGTCCACTCCCATCATTCCTGCCATGTCAGCCAAGCCAACCGCAACAGCCAAGCCAGCCGCTACAGCCGTCCCAGCCGCTACAGCCGTGCCAGCCGCTACAGCCTCTGCTGACCAATCCCATGCAGCCGTGCCAACTGCCCGCATTCGCCTGGAGCAGTTACGGGGCCTGTCACCTGTCCCATGTGAAACCTCAGGTGAAAGCTCAGGTGGCATCAGATTCGGGAACGTCTGGGGTGTCGAACCCGACTTGGATGCAACAGCCTCTAGACGGTCATCATCGGCAGAGAAGACAGGTGTTTGAGGAGACTCAGACGGGTGGGCTACCCCCACAGGGGCTCGCAGAGAGGCATCAGTGTGAGGAGGAATCACAGGAGGATGGATTGCCCTGGACGAGTTTATCAGCAGCAGCAGGAGGAATATCAGGATGCTTGGCTGCTGTTGCTGCTGCTGCTACCACCACCCCTCCACTCCCCCAGAGTTCCTCCTGTGTGACAGCAGCTTCGAGCGCCGTTGAGCTCAACCTGCTCTGCCGCGTGGATGCACGCGAGCAAGGGTCGTCCTGCGCAGATGCAGGCGCACACGAGAAGCAGGAGCCGTGTCAGCCCGTTTGCCGGGAGCCACCGGCTTTGTCGCTTGCACTCATCCACGCGCCAGGCGATGAAAAAGAGGCTTTAGTTTTCGTTAATATAGATAATAGAAACAGCTGTAGAGGCGCACGCGAGGATGTGCAAGAGGTTACTACTAGGACTCCTGGGAGGAGCAGCAAGAATGACAGCGGTGGCTTGGGCAGTAGTAGTGAGCATCGCTGGTCGTTGCTAGAGGGGTTTTGCCCCACGCCTCCTATTCCTCTGCACCGCTTACAGCAGGCCAATCGGTCATAATGCAGTAGTACGATGTGCTGATACCGTATTTGTGTAATGATTGGATGGAAAATTTGAAAGAAAATTTGCTAAGTGGTGGTGCATGAGACTAAGTATAGAATCTGCAACCACAAGTAAGTAGAAAGTAATACTGAAAGTACCTCCACTAACAGCCAGGATTAACAAGTTGTAATACCAAAATAGTGTTACAGCCTTGTGATACTTCTAGACTTGAACAAGGATCTTTGCTGGAATGGTAGACTAGTAAGACAGCGAAGTCTTAGAACTTGTAAGTGTTGACCAGAATTTACTCAAGAACAAGTTAATAATTGAAGTCATACAAGCTACTCTTATATGTGCTAGAAGTACCTGATCTGTAATGTATCTGTCCAAAACTATTTGCGCTATGCGCTCTAATCGCTATTGAAAAGAGCGCGATTGTTCGCGTAACTGAAACGGCCTGCTGATGTAATCATCCACACCAGCGCTATTTGCTGACGTCATTCTACGGATGCTAGCTACAGTGTAACTCGATAATATCTATCGGAACTACTTACAGAAATGCTTAAGTACGATTTTATCACAACACTCCCCTTCATTTCTGGAAGTCTGATACAGGGCTGACGTTTCAAAAAAAGGCACTCTGAGCCAATCCCACCCAAAAAAAAAATAGTCTGAAGGGCCTTCAGCCGAAATTTTTGTAGTCTGAAATGTCAGGGTCCAGAACTCAGCGAGTCTGATTTTTTCAGGGTCCAGGACGTACAACCAGAATCACACACGGGAAACACCCCCACAGCGAGAAACATCCCTCCCTCCTACATTTCCCAAAAAATCGGCTAAGTTCCTTGCAGCATTAAAAATCCTCCCACAGCCCGCGCCCCCCCCAACCAGCAACCTTGTCCACCCTCGTTTTGCGTAGTTGTTAAATGTGGGAAACGGGGAAGTTATTCCTAAAAACCGAGGGGGTAAAATCGCACTGCCACGGAAATCGAAACTGAGGAGAGGGGGAATAGAAAATGACGGGGAAATGGGGGAGGGAATCAAAATGGAGGGGAGGGGGGAAGCGAACCGGAGGGGAGGGGGGGGAAGGGGGGGGACGGTCGAAACGGAGAGGATGGGGGAAGCGAAACGGAGGGGAAGGGGGGAAGTGATCGAAACGGAGGGGAGGGGGGAAGCGAAAATGGAGGGGAAGGGGGGAATCGAAACGGCAGGGAGGGGGGAAGCTGGGGAATAGGAGGGTGGGAGAAATTTCGCGCCCTTGCAGCGCCCCGGTTGGGAAATCTTGGACGTTAATCGCTATATAACATCGAACGATTGATATACGTCGAAACGATCGCAAACGATCGTGACCGTTACATTTTGTTAGACTTTCAGTTGACCAAACGGGCAACTGGCGAGAATTTCCCTATGTTAAAAATGCGGAATTTACTCTCATTTCAATGCAGTTCAAAAAAAAGTGAAAGTCTCATTCAAAACTTCTGGGTTGTTCCAGGTGTTAGGGAGGACTGTATCTGACAACATGACTTAGTCGAAATTTAGGGTGGGTTGTGGGGTGTGTGGGGGATGTCTCTAGCGTTCCGGGACTTCGCCGAAATTTTAGATGGGTTGTGGGGTGTGGGGTGGGGGTTGTCTCTAGGGTTCGGGGACTTGGCCGAAAATTTTTAGGGGTTGTGGGGTATGTGGGGCATGTCTCTAGCGATTGGGGACTTCACCAAATTTTTCGAAGGTTGGTACTGTACAGGTAATGAGTCAGGGTCTGTACGCGATGTGCTCTGAAAACTCAGTACTGGGTTAGCGACAACTCTGATTTTCTCAGGATCCCTAGAATCGTACTCTGAAGGGATCAGGATTGGGAAAATGCCTTATCTGGAAATTCAGGTTTGGCCAAAAAACAGGTCTGAGATTTCAGACTAATCAGAGTAAATAGTCTGATAAAGTCAGCCCTGGTCTGATAGTGTCACTTCTTGACACGAGTAGCTGTGTAAGCAGCTATGAACTCAGCTTGAGCAGATGATAGAGCTACGAGCTCTTGCTTTGTAGAATTCCACGAGATAGTCCCGATAGGTTCGAGACAGTAGATAAAGCCGTTGCGAGATCGACGATTTGAGGTATGTGCTGCATGATCAGCATCGACGTACCCGTTGAGATATATACTTTTTGTAATTGTGACTTGATAGGTAAGCCCAAATTCAGGTGTCGAAATGAAATACTGTAGGGCGCGAAGAAGATATAGCTGATTCTCCCCCTCAGGTCGACGCAAAAATTGCGCGAGCTGGCCAGCAGCGTAGGCGAGATCCGAAGGACACGTTACTGCTGCGAATAGAAGACAACCCAGCTGCTGCTAATAAAGCTGTAGTTCAGTGTTATCGAGTGGAGTCGTATCAAGTTTGTAGTCCGTAGGTAGAGATCGGTAAGGTGTGGTTATAGTTGAAGGTGCGATAAAAAAGCGTACGGCTAGTGTAGCGGCGTACTTAGAAGCGGTAAGATGAATAGCAGTTTGGTGTACGGTGAATGTTGAGGCCGAGAAACTGTGTGATTGTAGGGGTGACTGTGATGTGTACGTGTTGTTGAATTTTCTGTTCGAAGGCATTAGCGAGGGAATCGGTGGTGCTGACGTAGAGTAAGTCGTCGACATAAGCGACGAGTAGGATGTAGTCAAGACCGTCGGTAAGTAAGTACATTCCTTGGTCGTGTGGAAGTTGACGAAACCCGGCAGTTAGTAGATGACGGTGTAGATACTACTGCCATAGTCGTGGAGCCTGTTTAATGCCATAGAGAGATTTTATGAGACGGCAGACGCTGGGAGGGTTAGTTTCGTAAGAATGCGGGTACTCAACCAGAATTAATGCGTCGACGGGTGCATATAGAAGCATTGGCGACATTGATTTGGCGAAGTCTGAAGTTCCAGCAGGCCGCGATACAAAGGAGGATGCGGACACTAGTGTGTCTGCCGACGAGAGCGAAAGTTAGCTCGTAATAGAGTCCAAAAGTTTGCTCGAAGTCGCGGACGACCCATCGCGCTTTGAATTTTTCAAAGGAACCATCGGCGTTTGTCTTCACACGAAAAACCCATTTTCCGATAAGAACTTTACTTCCCTTTGTTTCCTTCAGTGGGATTAGATCAAAGGTACCTCTCTTTTCCAGAGCTGCTAACTCCCGGTCCTTGGCTTCTTGCCATTTTTCCTTGTGTTGACTTGTCAAAGCTTGGCGAACTGTTTTCAGCTCCAGAATCTTAGTGTTGTTAGACTGTACTGCGACTGCGAGTCCCAATACCTGTAATCCAGTTTCTGTAAAACGAGGACGATTTGAGTTTACACCGGAGAAGTTGTGTTCTGGCCCCTCTTCCCCCCCAACTTTGTCAGGTGTCACACGGATAGCTGCTTCGGAGACAACGGGCATTGGCTGTTGCTGACGATCATGTTCGTAATCAAGAACAACGCCGCGAACATCTTCAGAGTCTGCTTCGCTGAGTGGTATAAACTCGGCAGTTCCAACTGACATGGTTGGCACAGGGATGTATGTGGCAGCTTCGGAAGACTCAGGGACGGATTCATCTAGTACATTTGCTTTGGCTTCGTCGGTAGTGAAAGCACGCGAGCCTTCGAAAAGCTTGGCAGGATTGGCAGCTAGTGCTTGGTGAGCATGAAAAGCAGGTAAGGTGAGTCGTTCGTAGAAAAGACAATCACGTGCCGGTACAATTTGACTCGTGCAAAGATCCATAATTTTCCATGCGTAAAACTGCTTCTCGATGCCAATATGAATTCCCCACTTAGCGCATTCCGAAAATTTCCCGAGGGCTGCAGTCGGAGGTCGTTATTGGACGATACACCCAAAAACTCTTAAAAGTTTTGTGTTGCCGTTGTTTTTCTCCACTGCAGGTGTGGCGAAGAGAATTGTGGAAGAGATGTTGTCGACAGCAAGTTGTGCAGAAAAATTGCATGGTCCAAAGTGTAAGTAAAAAAATTCGGTGGTAGTGCTGCCCGAGTCAGCAAGACTCGCATCTTCTCTTGTAACGTTCTCTTCATCCGCTCCGCTACCCCCATCTATTGGTGTTGATGTGGCAGAGACCCTCGGCGTTTGATGCCTAGGGTTTGAAGGTACCCAGTGAATTTTGTGCTCGTATACTCCCCTGCTCCGTCACTCTGAAATTCTTGAAGCTTTTCTTTCGATTCTCTCTCAGCCACCGCGAGCCATGCGACGAAGTTAGAGTGAGCCATATGGCGAGTCGGAATGTTGGCCGTCCAAACTTATCGAGTAGAAGCCTCGATAAGGAAATCATATAGAGCTCCCCCTTAGGTCCTGCTTCGGGTAAGTTGAGGATCACGCTGTAGACCTTCCGTATAAGTGTGCGAGTCGATCCTAGAAAATGACTTGGAAGAGGTTCGTGAGGAAGAGTAGCAATTGTGCACGTTGTGCAGACTGCCGCTCGAGAAGACGGCTTCATCTTCGTTGCATCTGCTAAGAGTAAGCTGTTTTTGTCAAGCACTCATGCCCTTATAGAATGACTAAGAATCCCCGTAGATGGATGACCTAGCCGTTGATGCCATATATCCTCTGTTGCTTTGTGTCTTGTTGATCGCAAATAAAAGCCGTGGTTAGTAAAAAAGGAAGAAATGATAAAAGGAGAAAGCGCTGGTGATTCGTCCAGATTTCCACTAACGAAGCGGGTAAGAGGTAACTTAGTGGTTTTAATTTCTACGTCGAGAACTTCTTCTGGTTGTAGAACTAACTCTCCTTCTTCGATTTCTGTCTCGTTGTGTCTGCTGCAGGTTGACCGATGAGAACCCCTGTTTCTGCTTCACTACTACTTTGCTGCTCGGCTTCCTCTGCTTCACTGCTGCTGCTGCTGGGTCCACAAGGTACTTCAGGTTTGTTGTTGAGTTGTCCACAAGGTTCACTGCTGCTGCTGCTGCTGCTGCTGGGTCCACAAGTGTCATAGTAGTTCCGCCACGCTGATGTATCTTTGTCAACTGTATTTGTTGGCCAGGAATCAAGAGCCGCTATAACTGCAGCGGCTGTACGAGATCCCGTTGGAACTACAGTTGCATGAAAGTCAACTTCAA